ACCACACTGCCTCTCTCTCAGCTCTAACCACTGACCACACTGCCTCTCTCTCTCAGCTCTAAACACTGACCACACTGCCTCTCTCTCTCAGCTCTAACCACTGACCACACTGCCTCTCTCTCTCAGCTCTAACCACTGACCACACTGCCTCTCTCAGCTCTAACCACTGACCACACTTCCTCTCTCTCTCAGCTCTAAACACTGGCCACACTGCCTCTCTCTCTCAGCTCTAAACACTGACCACACTGCCTCTCTCTCAGCTCTAACCACTGACCACACTTCCTCTCTCTCTCAGCTCTAACCACTGACCACACTGCCTCTCTCTCTCTCGAAGTACTGTACTGACACCTGAAGAAGGCTCCACGGCCAAAATGTTGTGTTTTCTGTCTTCTTTATTTCAGCATGGAATAAACCTATTACTTGTACTGTACTGTAGTTCATACCTGTAGCTTCGTGTACAATCATATACAATAATTAACCACCAGGGGGCGCCGTAAATCCTTAAAATTATCCGATACACTATCAAGATACAATACTGTAACAAATTATCATTAATAGTTCTGTAAATTTTGACAGAGACTTTTGTGATAATGCGCGAAACAGCACCTATTCAACCTTTTATAGCAAATGTATTACTCTAATGACATTTATTAGATTGAAAAACAAATAGAAATGTACAGTAAAATTGTACTTGCTCAGTCCTATTAGAGTACATTACACTACAACTGGTTTTCAGCAAAGTGCAGTTAACTGCATTGCTATACACTATGCTGTTGTCCAACATGTTGCAGCTACACTATACAGCGCAATACGCTGCACTCTTTGTACACTGCAGTCCAATACATTATACATTACAGTCCATTACATTCCTATACAGTACAGTAGGCTGCAGTTTAATGTTACTATGAAGCACACTACAGTCAAATACACTATACAGTACAGTACACTACAGAACAATATGTTACTATACAGTACCGTACACTGCAGTCTAACAGTGCAGTCCCCTACAGTCGAATACTTTACTATACTGTACAATATACCGCAGTCTAATGTTACTATACAGCACAGTATAGTCCAATACAATATACAGTTCTATGCAGTCTAATACAGTACAGTACACTACAGGACAAGACGTTACTATACAGTACAGTACACTGCAGGACAAGACGTTACTATACAGTCAGTACACTGCAGGACGAGACGATACTATACAGAACAGTACACAACAGGACAAGATGATACTATACAGTCAGTACACTACAGGACAAGACATTACTATACAGTCAGTACACTGCAGGACAAGACGATACTATACAGTACTGTACACT